AGTCGTAATACGTACCTGTTTACGAGGCACATAAATTTTTAACTCTTAAGTTCACGACGTTATTACCGTAAAATATTTTTCCGTTGTTTATACAAACGCGTCGCTATAAAAGGGATGATATGTAGTACACGCTCCCCTTATTTATCTCGCGAGTTATTTACCCTGGGGACGATCGATCTAAGAACATCGTTTCTTTTACAATTCAAATACATTTACGTGCACTTGGAATATCCTAGAAAAAAGATTTTCTGTGTACAATATTATGCATTTATTATGGCATCTTAGTGATAATTTCACTTTTATTTACTAATACTCATCCAGTATCAGCGTATAGAGATAAAGAAAGAAAGGTTCGAAGATTCGTCCATTCAAGTTGCTCCACCAGGTGACCTAAAAATATCCCAATCGGAAGTCCTGCTTCTTAGGCTGCCCTTTCAGAAGCTCCACTTTCCACGCCGTTGGAACAAAACTTTCTCGAGTTTCCTTCGACCAAGGTAGCCCTTGTCAGTTATTTCTTTACCAAAAGTCAACGTGTATCATCCATTTCTGTCCAGCGCTGCGATCGATACTTTCGATGGCTCGTTTCTCTTGACTCACTCTGGAAGACGAGTTAACTCGTCGTTAATTCACAAATACTTCGAAAACACAATAGTTTATTTATCGAGAGATTATTAACTCTTTGCGGTCGTTTTTGCCGCAGGCATGTTAGTCGTAATTATTTTTGGGTAGCGCGCACTCGGTCAATTATTGCCCAAAAATCGTGTAAATTTGATTCAAATGTGTCGTATTCATATTATTTTTTCCCTGCTTCTGCAGGCGTTTAGAACGTAAAAACGCCTCGCCAGGAGTATCTCGGGGTTCGACCGCAAAGAGTTAAATTGCAATAGTAATGCAGAAGTCAAAATGAAGCAAGTGGTTGAAATTTTGACTCATTTTCAATTAGAAAACTATTTAGAGAGACCGAGTGCACGTTGCAATATGAAAATTAGCAGAAATTTTGGAATCTGTATGAATTCGTAAGTAGGGACACGATTGAAACTTTTGACCGACAGTGTACGCAGGATAACTGACACGACACCAAGTGTGTCGGACCTCGCGTCGAGCCACCTTAAACGAATCCATTCGAAACACGCCCAAGTGGCTCGTATCTCTTGCGATTTGGCCGTATCTGCGTTTACGACGCCTGCCGCGTCGTTTCCCGTGGAACGACAGCGTTTCTCAATAAAGTGCCACTCCGGTGACGAATCCACGTCACCCGGACGAGGATCACATAACGCAGCGTTTCTAACTCGACGAGCTTTAGCCCTGTGGCACGCCGTGGGGAACCGTGACGTTATGGACCTCGTAAATCTTGCGGATCAGAAAATTCATTTCGCGACGGGATTAAGTATCGGGAGATAGGAATCAATCGAGTTTTTTTTTTTTCATTCTCGCGTACCGCCTTCGAGACGAAACTTGTTGTTTGTTTTTATTCGAGGCTTTTTTTTCGATCGAGAGGTTGGAACGTGAAAAGTGAAACGCGGTCGAAGCGGAAACGAACGGGGCTGACACTTGAACGCGATTAGTTTTATTCGAGGGATGAGGAATTTTATGAGGCTCGTTGGATGGTTGAGCGACGTTTCGGGTTTGACGTAGCTGGGAGGTAGTGCAGAGTCGGTAATTGTCGTCGAGGTGGTCGTAACTTTTGGTTTCACGAGAGGGTAATAAGGGAATAATAATAGTAATGATTTCATTCTGTATAAATTCGACGCGTGTAACGGGGTTGAGCGCTGATCTTGCATTTGATGAATTCAATTGTTGGATGGTTAAATGAGTTGGAAGATGTAATTATTGTTTTATTAGTGAATTAATTACTATTTTTATTGATTTCTATAAACACACGTATACCGATGAAAACTTTACACTTTGTAATATAATTATTATTTTTATCGATTTCTGCAAACATAGACTGATGCAAATTTTAGAATTTCTGTTAGAATTATTATTTTAATGAAGATACAATTATTACTTTTATTGATTTCTATAAACACACGTATACCGATGAAAACTTTACACTTTCTAATATAATTATTATTTTAGTGAAGATACAATTATTACTTTTATTGATTTCTATAAACACACGTATACCGATGAAAACTTTACACTTTCTAATATAATTATTATTTCTATCGATTTCCATAAGTACTGACTGATGGAAATCTTACCCTTTCCGATATAATTACTGCTTTAAAATTATAATTTAAAACAAAATTAGAAAAAGTCTCGTTGAAGTCGTCATAATAATTCTTAGTTAGCTGCAACTGTTTATTAACGATTACTTTCGTCTAAAAGTTAGTCTGTAATTTATTCTAAATTAACACGTTTCGTGCCGCGTGGGTCGCATACGCCCCACTCTGGTCTTTCCGTTCAGGCCGTCTGATATTTCGGCCTTTTCCTTCCGCTAACTTAAATTATGCAACTACGGCGATAATTTGTTAAAACAAAAATTTTTCCTTTGCTCTATAGCATATCTTAAACGTTACCTTTTTCTCGATAACGATGATTTTTGCAATCTTATAAATATTGGAAGACATATAGGGCGAAGAGCAAAACTGTTAGTCTGGACAATGTGGGACGCATACGACCCACGCGGCGTGAACGGAAAGTCGCGATATTCTCATTTTTCCACTGCCATAAAAATACGTCGTCCCAATAATTACAATTTCACGGTTCATCACGTTTAACGATAAAGAAAAGGAGGGATAAAACGGGGAAGGAACAGAGCTGAAGCATTTCGAAAATTACACACGCGTACATAGACGCATTCAGCTCGTAGCGACACATCTGCATATCAACGTGTAGACTCTGTTTTAGATTCTCCGCGTGGCACGGCATAGTTACTCGTTGCACTCGGAACTTCATCTGCATTCGCGTGTGCGCTCGACGTCGTTGCAACCCTCCGAGTCAGTGGCAGCGACGCACGTCGGGACGCCTCAAACGAGTCCGTGGACGTGTCTCTACCTTGTGTCCCATCGACTTTTTACCCTCAACTCCGCCGACTTACACGTGCTCTTCCCTTTATCTACCGGAACATTTATTATTTCATTCTTTCCTCCTTAAGCCAATTTTCTTTCTTCCTTAATTAACCCTTTTGTGTGCAAATTATTTCCTTAGTTAACCCTTTCGAGTCTAGATTATTTTCTTAGTTCACCCTTTAGCGTCTAAATTATTTTCTCTGTCAACCCTTTCGCGCCTAAATTATTTTCTTAGTTAACCCTTTCGCGCCTAAATTATTTTCCTAGTTAACCCGTTCATGTATAAATTATTATCTCAGTTAACCCTTTCGTGCCTAAATCATTATCTTAGTTAACCCTTTCGTGCCCAAATTATTCTACTGATCATCGAGACTATAATGGACGTTATTTGATACACATACATATATTTTATATTAACGTGTGTATAATATTGTTAGTGAAACACTGAACGCAAACAAATAATTGATAATGTTATATCCAAAGAACTACATTTTTTGTTTGTTTTATTATTGATACAGTAATAACAACTGATGCTAACCGGTGTTCGTTGAATATGCATTAACATGTATGATTGTATTTCCGTCAGAGGAAAATGAAATTTTCACAGATGATTAATTATGTATGAAACACATTCTTTCGCTGTGATCTCGTTTACCTTCCGTCTATTTGGAACGACACATTATCGGTAATTGTATATTTAATGCAGCATATACCGAGTTCAACTTGTTTCCTTCAAATGCAAATTTTATGAAAAGTTTTCTTTACGATAATTTACAAAAAACCGAGTACAACGGAATAAACAAAGCAAGTCATTTTCTATTAAGCTTCTCTGCCTTCTCTCGTTCCTCCACGTACATTTCCATCGTTACTCCCCTTTTTTACATAATCGTCACGTTCAGTTCTCGCGCTCGTTTCCACGAATTTCCCTCTTTCTGGTGCAACCTCCCCGTTTCTATTCCCTCGTTCCGTCTTCGGGCGTCAGTCAGCCGATGAACTTGTCAATTTTCGTCGGCGGCACGCGTAAAATGATCGGCTGGCATACGTGAACCCGATTTCACGAGACTGCGGCGGATTGACACTTCGACGACGCGCGACCTTTTCCACGGGAAATATCGATGGTAGAGAAGGGCGCACGCTCGCTTTCGGGATGGGGGACCTTGAAATTCAGCGCGAATTCGGCACATTACCGTGGTCTGAAAATTTCCGCGGATTCTCTCGCCTTTGTATCCTCGAACAGCAGCGAGCTTCATTTCTACACAGTCGAATCGTTTTGTGTCAGTGTTCATCTCAAAGACGTAGAAAAATAATCTACATAGTATACTTCGGAAGAAATTTCTCAAAATATTGTCTAACTGTTGACTGTGGAAATTCTATGAAAATTACAAACAATTAATAAAAAAGAAAGAATGCATATATCGTGAGAAAATATGAAACGTAACTCTCTGCTTTCGATGAAACTTTGCTGGTCGATAGAGAATCTAAAGTTGTACAGCCAAGTTTAATTTCAGGTGTAGACGTTCGGTACTTTATTTTTAGTAACAAATAAGTAAATTTGGGATTATAAGTAAAAAAAAATTTTTCTATACTTTCCGTTCAGGCCGCGTCAATCACCGGCGACTGACAGTATACTTTTCGTTGGTCGTCTTCTGTTTATAGTTCGCATGGTCCACTTGACGGCCAAGTGTGGCCTGAACGAAACGGTATGCAAAACAGGCTGGGGCGTTTAACGTGTTAATAATATTAATAATTTTACTATCGGTAATTTAATATCTCATACATTTTAACCCCTTTTAAAATGACTCGCAAACTACAGAAATACGACCAATAATAAACAATAAAATACACGGACCTAAGTACATCATCGACGAATTATTACAAGAAACGAATCGAAACGATGGCTTAAGATAACAGAAACTATTCACGTCCTATCGGAAATTTTCCTGGAAAACAGTATTTAAAACGTATCCCGTTTATTGCCTGTTACAGTTTGGACAGAGATCAGCCGTTCGCATTCCAGCTGGGAGTTGGCCAAGTTATTAAAGGCTGGGACCAAGGATTGTTGGATATGTGCGTGGGTGAAAAGAGGAAGTTGACCATACCGCCGGAACTCGGATACGGGGAGAAAGGAGCCGGAAACGTAATTCCTGGAGGTAAGATTGTTTCTTCTCGTCGATGTTCTTGCGACGACCGCCGCTGCGTTTCTCAAGTTTCTTATTATTTCCACGTTCTATCGGATAGAAATTATTTCTCCCAGGCGGACGCCATAAACAATCGTGCTCGAGGTTGGTATTTGAAAATCCAGGGGAAAAAACGTATCTCGCAAATAAAACACGTACGAGACGATGTAACAATTTCAAACTAATCGATTACCTATTGTCTGTGTGAAAGTTCTCATCGTACTTTTGCGGAGAATATGTATTTATTTTTTATTATATTTACAATTAGACGTCATAAAAATATTAATAATATATTTGGTACGCTGACTTAACCGTGGTATTTTCATAAATATTATTCTTGAGTTTTGTCACAGAGAATATCTTCGTTAACGTTTCATTGGACCAATTTATTTTCGTAAAAGTGAAAAAAGTATATTTCTATTTTCACTTCAGAAATTAGAACGATTTTGTTTAATCATATCATAGGATTTATCATATTAGACTGCGAAAATTTAAGTAAGAAAATTAATATTTCATATATACGGAATTAAACGTTGAATATAAATCAAGTTAAGAATTCACACGTTTTATCGAGTCTCGTGATTCGGGCACCAATGAACACGGTATAACTTGCAATGTATTTGAAATTCATCAGAGATATATCCCTACCTCTGATTGCGATTAATACGATCAAGTAGGGAATTTTCATACGCTGTATTAATATATTAATTGGCGCGAGAGGAACGAGGAAATATTCTGGAGTTAGCCTTCCTGCTTAGAGAGAAAATATCCTGCCTTTTTTCCGGAATTCCGTGCCCCTATATTTACAATGAAAAATTTCTTTTCTGTTAAAATACAATTTCCCCCGTAATTCACGGTAGATCAAACGTGTTCTCTCGCGAGCAGCATTATCTCGTAAAACATGGCATTATCCTGGGAAATATTCAAATTACGAGCTGAAATTGGAAGTCAAATTTGTTAGCAAAATGTAAAATCTCCGTAAAATCGATATCAATTGAGAATTCTCTGAAAATATTATTTTAAATACGTACAACGATAATTTAATAATCTCTGTTTCTCAATTTGCGTCATTTCGAGCAGTGCAACGCAATGCACATGAGTGCGTAATTCAATTTTCAAAGCTAGATAAACGAAAAATGGGAAATTTGTGAAATTCCAGTTTTCAAATCTAGATAGAGGGAAAAAAGGGACATCTGTGAAATTCCAGTTTTCAAATCTG